AAACACGGGCTTATGAGTTAACAGTTTCTGCAGTTTATTGCCCACCAAGACACAACATTAAAAAAGAAAACTTTATTGGCTTCTTCAGTACTCTGGGCAACAAATTTATTGCTGGTGGTGACTACAATTCTAAACACACCATATTTGGTTCGCGCCTGACAACAACTAAAGGCAGAGAACTAGCTAATGCCATTCATGAAAAAACTACTCTTCTTTCAACCGGTACCCCTACTTATTGGCCAACTGATCATAATAAAATTCCAGACTTCTTGGATTTTTTCATCACAAACGGTATATCCTCTAATTACATGGAAGTTGTTTCAAGCTACGATTTATCCTCCGACCATTCTCCAATAATTGCTACAGTCAGTAGCTGTGTCATTCATAAGGACGCTACTCCTAGACTACACAATCGAAGAACAAACTGGGATGATTACCGCAGTAAAATTGAAAACAAAGTTAATCTTAAAGTAAGTCTTAAAACAACTAACGAAATAGACGAAGCAGTTGCGATCTTAGTCAGTGTCCTTCAGGAAGCAGCTCAGCTATCCACTCCTCTTCCAAAAACACAAAGCAGTGTTTTTCATATTCCACTTGAAGTCAAAAAATTAGTAGCAGAAAAAAGGAAGGCCAGGGCAATATGGCACCGAACGCATGCACCAACAGACAAAACTGCTTTAAACAGAATTAGTAATCAATTGAGAGAAGACAAAAATCAAAGAGGCCAAAGAGAGGTCTTTTGCAGAGTACGTAAAAAATTTAAACCATTATGACAACTCTATATGGAAACCAATCAAACATTCAAAGAAACCTAAAACTCGATCACCTCCCCTTCGTAACGAGCTAGACCTGAATCTGCCGTGGGCCAGAAGCGATAAAGAAAAAGCACACCTTTTTGCAGAACACCTCGCAAAAATATTCTCACCGCATAACAATGACTTAAATCATGAAATAAAAAGAAGTGTGTCGGTTGTCCCATTAAACATATCAGCAATCAAGTTTTTAACAGTTAAAGAAATTCAGCACGAAATTAACAACCTAAACCCTCGTAAGGCACCAGGAGTGGACAAGATAACGTCAAAAATGTTAAAAGAACTACCAAGGAAGGGCTTAGTAATGGCCGATATCGTTGAAAACTGCCGAAATTATAATGATCCCAAAACACGGTAAAGATTTAACAAGAGTCTCCTCATATCGCCCTATTAGCTTACTACCATTAGTTTCCAAAATTCTTGAAAGACTGATACTTCGTAGAATCAACTCATCCAAAAACCGAAAACTGGATACCACATCACCAGTTTGGGTTTCGAGAAAGACATTCCACTATTCAGCAGATACATCGGATTACCAGCAATATAACTCAAACTCTTGAGGACAAAAAGTATTGCACATTAGTGTTTCTTGATGTTAGTCAGGCTTTCGACAAAGTATGGGCTACTTTACAAAATTAAAAATTATCTTCCCATGTCCTATTTTCCGATATTGAAATCCTACCTAAATGGTAGAGTGTTTAGAGTCAGAATAGGTGAAGATATATCTGATAATTATAGCATAAATGCAGGTGTTCCACAAGGTAGTGTCCTAGGACCACTACTCTATGTCCTTTTTACCGCAGACTTTCCCACAAACAATGAAACAACAACGGCTACTTTTGCAGATGACACAGTAATTATGGCTGTCAACAAAAAGCCGGAAACAGCTTCCTTGATATTACAAAGACATCTAAATGTAATAGAGGCATGGTTACGTGATTGGAAAATAAAAATTAATCCATCAAAATCGGCCCAAGTAACTTTTACTTTAAATAGAGACCAGTGCCCTCCAGTATATTTAAACAACACACTAATTCCGCAGTCTTCATCTACCAAGTACTTAGGCATGCACTTGGATACTAAGCTTACCTGGAGAGAACACATAGAAAGAAACGTAAGCAAATAGATTTAAAAATAAAAGACTTATATTGGTTAATGGGAAGAAGATCTAAACTATCGCTAGAGAATAAACTTCTTTTATACAAAACCATAATAATACCTATTTGGACATATGGAGCAGAACTCTGAGGATGCGCTAGCAAATATAGCCATAATACAAAGGAGCCAATCTAAAATTCTACGGATAACAGACGCACCATGGTATGTCTCCAATCATACTCTACATGAAGACCTAAAAATTCCGTACTTCAAAGAAGTCATCCAAACTCGGAGTAAAAAACATTTCATTAGACTACATGATCACACCAATACCTTACTTCAGCCTCTACTTGAACCAGTACCTACAAGAAGACTTAAAAGACAATGGCCATCTGATTTGAAAGAATATTAAGGAGGATTTTTCACTGGAGAATACCTCATCACGTTAACGGGAGCGTCATTGCTCTCAAGTCATCAAATTAGCCCATAGAATTTCCTTGCAAATATTCTGATTGCTAATAAATCATAATAATAAAAAAAAATATGTCAATAATGACAGGCATTGATAATTTCAATTGCAAATATCTCGAGAACTATTACTCGTAGCGATTTTTACCAAGAGACCTTTTTTACGTTAAAAATGTCGTAAATGCAATACTCTTCAAAACAGTTAAAACACATGTAGGTGGCGCTCCCTACGAATAGGAGTCATATTGACATCAAAATCAAATTTCAGTTCGGACCACCCTGTATATCTCATCTATCCAAACAAAAAGGCCGGATGCTTTGTTAAGATTTTTTGATTCTATTTTTGTAATAAATATTACAGATATTTGCAATATAAATAATTTTTAGCGCCATATTGTAAGTATTGAATTAATTTTAAATTTGTATTACAAGAAGACTTATCTGAAGGCAGTTCACCTTAAAACAATCGTATTTTTAAGTAGTGTGTCCTTTGAAAATGCTTTCTATTGTTATCGTCATTTGTTTTATTGGTATTAAATATTCAATTTATAAACGATACCAATTAAATTTTTAGTAACGTCATCGAGGGCGCGATTTTTAAAATCATTGTTGCCAACTAATTGGAATTTAAATTTCCCGCTGGAGATTCAGATGGTAGCTTTGCTGTAAAAAATGTCAAGTTACCATATTTATTTATTTATTTCCTGACATTGTTATTCGTTTTGACACTTTAGTTTTGTATTACATACTAGTTTTTGGTTTAAATGAATTGAGTTGTGATACTTTAAGCTGAAAAATGTTTACTAGCAGACCTTGCAGTTGAACATTGTTCTTTTTAGAACCGCTTATAGATATCAATTATTTATTTTCTGTTTTAAAATTCTGTCTTTCAAGCACTAAAAAGTATTTACATTAGAATTTGTTTTTTTCCAGAAACAAAATATACACCTAAATAAATTTAAATATTTAAATAGAAAAAACTGACAATTTATCTCTGATCTTTTGTTTTAGTCAGTAGAGTAGTGAATGCAGTGAGTACAAATATACCGCTTTTAACTTGCTATTGCGTCAAGTAGGAATAATTGATGTAGTCAATATAGTTAGTGTAAAATAGTTTTCGAATTGTGTATGTATTTATTACTTTTAAAAGAATGTTTAAAATTATATACATATTTGATATAATATGTTTTTGTAAATTGTTGACTAAAAAATATATATAAACATAATATATTATTGTCAAAACGTTCAGATTACCAATGTCTTGTTTCATACATTTTTCATACAACAAATTTTATGAATTCTCTTTATAAAATCTCAAGCCTGTTTTATACCGGGTGCGTCTCGAAAGTGGCTCACCCCTCAACTTTTTTATTTTTTCATATTAAAAAAAACGAGATTTGGTATGTTAGCATATGACATAAATTAGCATTGATTGATGTATTCAATTGTTTTTGGTAGCTGTATTAACATAATAGCTTATTTATCTTTCATTCGGAGGCATATCGGCTTTTTATCATATTTTTTAGTATGGGTCCAATAGTGGTTTTCTTATAACATTACGAAAAAAGGTATCTAATACGCATTCTAAAATAGATTCCAATATGATATATGAAATAAATAAGGTATTAATTCAGTTTGATGTTCGTCAATTAAATTGATATAAATTAATTATCTATTTTAAGTTTTTTATTTAATCTAAATTTTCATTTAATACCAAGATATTTAATTATGCATTATTTAAATATTTCAAGCAACTGGGCTTTACTGCTTGTATACAGGATGACTCAATGTTCCAGAAACGCTTCATATCAGGTTTTGTACTGGAAATGGTTCCTCTGATCTTTTTATAAAATATACAGGCAATACTAGGGTACTATTTTCAGAGATATATCGCCCTGTATATCTCTCGGTATAGATTTTTTTTATTTTATTTTTCCAAATAGTATGCTCAGTGGTTTTTCACAAAAAAATGTTTTTAAATAACAGCTTGTGTTTTTATTACACGTAATTGAAAAAAAAAAGATAAATAGAAGAATTTTCAAATGGTGTGTCAAAAACTTTCATGTCAAATATATTAAAACTATCCTGTATATCCATAAAAATATTAAATTGTGCACAACTATTCCTCCAAACTTTATTAAAAAATTGAGCGATAACTTAAATATAACTCTGAATCAGGAAAGAAGACTATTGCGTAAGATCATAAATTATACGAAATATAAATGTACGTACGTCTGTGATAAGGTCACGAGGTTACGACCGATGACATATTGACGTTAGGTCATGTTATTAGGGAATGACTCTTTCTAACACATTTGAAACGGTAAATCGATTGTCTTTACTATAAAATAATATGATTATGCAATCGTCTTCTTTCCTGATTCAGAGCAGTCTGTTAGGTTAGGAAGGAGAGAAGGTATGACAGTGACAGTTACCTGTCATTTTAATCCAAAGATAGATTTGTTTTGCTTATAAAAATTTTAGGATACCGTCAAAATCGTCTCTTATCTCATTGGACATACATTACCTGATATGAAGCTTTTTCGGAAACATGGGTCATCCTTTATTCACTAGGTCACTCTAGTTAATTAGGAATTAAAAGTGCAATATGTGTATTTGCAGCCTCCTCCAGCTACTTCGTTCATACCGCCTGTTCGCCGTCCTCGCAAGCCCCAAAGGCGAACCACCACCCCGCATGGCGTCACCAACGAGATCGGTGCCGGCGACGCCCCCTTGCCCAATCAAGACGACAGTCTAGTGACCCAAGTCGAAGCCCTTAAAATTTAGGTACTCCTTTCAAGGTGATCTATTTTAGTACAAGTTATTTGTGAGGTTACAGGGTCCCGAGTCGGTATTAGTTACAATATTTTGTGTATTTAATTATGCAACCTATAGCAGTCTAGGCAAGCTATCATCACACTTTAGTTTTTAACATTTGCGAGCGATTATTGGCTTGCCGTCTACAAAATATTTGACAACTTACCGCTCAAGGCTAATATCTCTTGTATAAAGCGACAATTTCAAGTTGCTCTAAAGGGGAGGCTAAGAAAATTTCTTTTTCAATTAATAGATAGAAGACATTAAAGGTATCTACAATAATTTATACTATTATATAATATATTTACTCAAAACTCATTTTATTTAACAGTTTTATACACAAAATGTCAATTTGTGTAAATCCTTAATGCACGAAGAAAAAAGACTTTCTGTTGTTAATACTTTAAGACAAGTTTAACTCATTAACAAAGGATTTTTACACATTTTGAATAGTGGTTTTTAAGAAATTGTTTAGCCTCTATGTATATTAAAATATATTATATACATAATGTAAAATACATCGGTAAATATACTTAAGCTAGCCCCATAATTGTATTATTTTCATTTATTTAAAGATTGAGTGCGTGAATGTATAATAATAAGTGTATACAAGTTTGCTAAATACAACTTATATTGTCAACTATTGTTTAATCTGAAGCAGCGTTACAATGTTGTTTTTACATTGGATTGCGCATAAGAGTATTTTTATTTAATACAAATTAAATAATAAGGATTATTTGCACTATGCCTAGCTTTATATATGACACATATTAAAGATCATAAGGGGCTTTTGAATAAAAGAGGAATAAGGAATCAAAAATGATATATTTAAATAATATTCCATCCTCTATCAATGTTCACCTCTAATCAAGATATTACTTTTGATTCGTGGTGTGTCAAAGAACTTGCAATATTTATTTTTGTTTAGAACAAGCCATTTTGATAATTAAAGAAGACAATATGTTGACGCAAACCTAAAATTATATATATACATAATATATAAAGTGAGACGCCATTATTGGTCTAGTATAAGAATCGGAACTAAGTCACTTCTAATACATATTTCTTTTAAGGTTTTGTAGATAACATTATGAACGAAATAATATTTAGATGTAAGAAAAATATTAATATATTTTAGGTTACGTCGAAATAAATATACATAATTATTATATATACATATATAAATATCCATAACTTGTTATTTAATATATAAGATTAGTTGGTTTTCTAAGGTTATTATAATTACTTCTACGAAAATGTTGGATGTGGTCGCCAAGTAAAATCAGAGAAAGTGTAGACTATTTGCATGTGAAATAGGCTGATCTTTTTTGGAATGAAGGTGTACAGATAAAGAAGACTAATTAGTTTACTGTAAAAACGACTTCTTTATGAATCCATCAGCACAAATTCATTAAGAGCGACTAAATTCCTGAGTATTGATTTTTTTAGTATTCCTATGTAGTTTAGATTTGCGAGATTCAGAAATACTAGGTTTGAATTTGTTAGCTATCCGGTCGGAATAGCTGGTATTAATCGGGTATTTCTAGCCTCGTAAAAAAATACTTTGACAAAAAGTGAGAATCTTGCTCAAAATGTTGCCATCGCGTAAACGAAGCAAATACATCGTTTGAACAATGTAAGGGCTTCTTAATTGTCAATTTTTAACTCTGATATTTGAATACTGTTACTGAGGCGAAGATTAATATTTGTCAATTTCCTAGCGTAGTTTATATTTTTTTCATCCATTATTTAACATTATGTCAATTTTGCCACAGTTATTAAACGAAAAGTGTCAATTTTGCTATCATATATTTTAAAAATGTTACTCGTTTTTTTTTTTCGTTTGCAATGATATTTTTTTCGTTTTTTTTTTCATTACTAAATAAGGTTTTTGTTTGAATTTTAGGCTGTGAAGATGTATATTGATATGATTGTTGAATTATTTTGTAGATATTTATAGAACTTCCAGACAAAAGTTTTTATCTGACATTTTTCAGAAAAAAATATGTTTGTCCGTAGGTGAAATCTCAAGTGCAAATCAAAATTTTTTCATCATATTTTATAAAATGTTACAAAAGCCTAAAATCCGTTGTTTAATCTTTGATATGATAAACAATAATCAGAATTTCTTTTTCTATTATTTATTGTTTTTCAAATAATTTGACAAAATAAACTGTTTTAAAAATATTGTATTGGTAAAGGGGCATACCTAATTGTGCGTTGTTATTACAATATTTGTTTTGAGTCCCAACTTATGTGAGTTATTAAAAAAATCCAAAGATAAGTTAAGAATAGCACGTAGTTGTAATATATAGCTAATAGCGTTTTTAAGATCTTTAGTAATTTATTCAGACTACAATTATTTAGATATAAGTTAGTTCATAAGAAAAGGGATGTAAAATCCATGATATCCATCGGCCAAAATCGTTATTAGTAGGTTAGGACCATTCTTGTTTTGGTACTGTAGATTTTTGTTTATATGAAATGAACGAATTTTGCGAAATTATAATTTTGTTTTGGTTTATTTTTTTGACCTATCCATTTCCTCATAGAGAGGTAGATGCAGAAGTAATAGTATATTGTAGAGTAATAGTCCCATTTCCCGGATAACAATGCTTTAAACGTCAGTTGTCCTAATCGCTAGGCAACTGACGTTTAAAGCTTTGTTTATCTGTCAACCATAATCACCGGTTATTCGCTTGAAATCGGCTATATACTTTCTTATGGAGATTCTACAAAAATAGGGATTCTTAAATGAACACTAGTTTATTTCTGTATCAACTCTCAAAATTAATCCAATTTTTTAAGATATTTTTATTTTGTTTTTTGTATTAATATAAAATTTGTACCTGCCATACTACTTTGAAAACTATATATATTTTGTTAATAATTGTTAAATTTTAAAAAGTTTACGAATCAAATTACTATTTTCTGTTATATAGAGTTATATATTATGCATTCCTCATTGCTGTTGGTCAATATATAGTTTGTAAATAACAACACTGGTGATCGAAGCACGTAGCGCCACCTTTAGATTTTATTTGGAATGCCAACGATTATACGGAAGTATCCAAGATGATTGAAATAGATGATGGGTGATTGGTACTGATGGAAAAAGAAATTATCAATCGAAAATTTTCAGCAAAGTTATGTCAATTCATTATAAATTTATTTTTTTTAAGTTTTCGTTTTGCTATTTTTGTGAAATCGACATTTTTTCAATGTAAAAAATACTATTTTTTCATAAAACTATAATGTTCAACACACATAAGGAGTAAATACTTAATAAATAAATATAGAACTGTATTTTGAGTACACTTTAATTATTCATTATATATCAAAAACATATAGTTTGGTTTGGTTTGGTTTGGTTTGCCAACCAATATGAACAAACTTGGAATGGTCAACTATTTCCGTCATTTTGGATCGCTTTATACAGGGTGGTCCGAACTGTATTCTGGAAACTTCGGCATCATATTCTACAGATCAAAATAAGTAAAAAAAGTTCGTATAAATGTATGTCCTAAAATGCTTAGTTTCGGAGATAGTGGGTGTAGAAGTTTCATTTTTATTTCGATTTTTTCCAAATAATTTCTGAAGTAACATACATATTTGGATGAAAATTGGTATCTGGGAGTTTTATGACACGAGAAATTTGATTTTGATGTCAAAATTACACCTATTTGTAGGGGGCGCCCTACACGTGTTTTAACTGTTTTGAAGAGTAATAACTTTTCGACCATACCTGTATAAAACCACTGACTAAAAAAATATCCATTTCCGTGACTTTTTATGTAAAAAATATCTCTTGGTAAAAATCGCTACGAGCAACCGTTCTCAAGATATTTAGAATGAAAATAGTCAATACATGTCATTATTGACAAAAAATAAGCACGTTGAGTATAGTTATTTGACTGAAATAATATTTTTTTATTTTTTTTTAAATTAATCATAAGTTTTTCTGCGAAAAAATGATGATTAAACAGTTTCTTTTGAGCTTTTGACACAAAAAGATTTCAGTCTAATAACTATTTAATCAACATGTTTAATTTATGTCTATGATGACAGGTATTGATAATTTCGATTCCAAATATCTCGAGAACCGTTACTCGTAGCGATTTTTACCTAGAGACCTTTTTTATGTAAAAAAAGTTCTAAATGCATATTTTTTTACTCAGTAGTTTTATACAGGTACCGACAAAAAGTTATTTCTCTACTAAAACAGTTAAAACACATGTAGGTAGCGCCACCTACAAATAGGAGTCATATTGACATCAAAATCAAATTTCTCATGCTGAAAAACTCCCAGACACCAATTTTCATCCAAATATTGATGTTACTTCAGAAATTATTTGGAAAAAATCGAAATAAAAATGAAACTTCTGCACCCGGTATCTCCGAAACTAAGCATTTTAGGACATACATTTATACGAACTTTTTTACTTATTTTTATCTGCAGAATATACTGCCGAAGTTTCCGGAATACAGTTCGGACCATCCTGTATACAGCGTGTTCCTTAATGTCATACTAATATTTAAACGAGTGAATCTTGGGCCTATTCTAAGAAAAAAACTTCCTATGAATGTATACCCTAAACATCTTAACTTTTGAGATACAGAGTGATAAAATGTACTAAAATAATCTTTTTTTTATAATATAATGTTATTACAGGTATTTTTAGGAAATTTGATACAGATTTTCTATGTCTTCTAATTTCTTTCCAGCCGATGCAGAAACTATTCCCACACAACAATCATCGCATCATATTTTTAGGGCTGAAGTAAAATTACTTGAATTTTTTTATGAAAAAAAAATGCGTCGAATGATGGTTTTGTAGATAATAAATTATTTTAAACCAAGTCAGTGACGTACCATATTCATTATAAAAGCCGTACGGCACTGGTTGAAATAAATAAATATTTTGTACATCAAAAAAGACATCTTGATGCATAGAAAACGTGTATTAAGTTTCATCAAGATAACGATAATATCAGAGATTATGAAAGAAAGTTATTTTTTAGGAAATGTTAACACCCTGTATCTCAAAAGTTAAGATGTTTAGGACATACATTCATGTGAAGTTTTTTTCTTAGAATAGGTCCAAGAATCACTCCCTTAAATATTGCGTGTCATTAAGGAACACCCTATATATTTATGTACCGGGTGGCCAAATAAGAATGGGTGCCGGCTGTATCCCAGAAACTACTTAACATAACTTTAGAAAAAAAAAGTATATGTAAATCGACCAAAAGAGAACGCTGGAATTATTCTACCATGGAAAACCATATATATGGAAACAAAGTTTATATCACAGATTAGTAAGAAACAAAAACTATTAAAAAAGCCGTAGTTTTTTTTTAATTTCGTTAACTGAAACCAGAGTTTCTTTTAATAAAAACAAATTAAACCTTCCACAACTTTATTTTATGAGATAGAGAAAAATACTCTATAACAAAAAAAATATAAATTTTCCGTTGATTTTTTTTTTAGAAATCCTTCGTTTTCTAATTGTCCATCACATGCGTCTATTAATCCCGATTTCTCTTGGCCGATTTACTTGTTAATTTTTTTTTCCATAGTTATGAAAAATATAAATAGTGTGATATAGATAGCGTCTATTTTTAGTTGGCTACCCGGTACATATTTGTTTAAAATTTAACTTTTACTGATAACTTTCATGATAAAAGCTATAAATATATTATGCTAACTTATTTTGACTGCCAGATACAACCACTTGCTATTTTGAAAGTTGAAAAGTACGTTATCAATGATGACTGAATAAATTAAAATATATCGGGTGTTTCCCAAAAGTGGCTCACTCCTATAACTTCTTTATTTTTTCAGATAAATAAACGATATTTGGTACGTTAGTACATGACATAAATGAGGATTGATTGACGCGTTCAAAAGTTTATTGTTTTATAAACTAATTATTAGGCTTTCTTTATGGATACAACTGACTTACCGCAAGCTGTTGCTAGGATATTCTATTAATTTTAATTGTATTTTTTAGACATTGTGAATGATCATCATATACTCTTAAATATAAAGTATAATTGAAACCACTAATTTATTCCTCTAATTTCGAGGTTCAGAATGAAGCTTTAATTTATTATCATATGTCAGTTTTTGATATTTTTGCTTAAAAATATCGTATTTTACATTTCAATCTAGTGTGCCTTGGCTGTGTTAAAAAAAAACTAATTTTTTGTCAAGGAGCCTTGGAAAAATAGATTTGATCGTCTAATGGTGCGTTTAGACACAGGTTTAGACTTGAGCACGCACGCACTGATCCTTCGCGAATGCTCAAGTGTAAACGGCTGTGCGCGCACGCTCACTCTGAATCGGTATGTGGGCGAGCTGCCGCGAACGTGAGCCGTCTGGTGTCGGTTTTTGGTCCGTGTTCAAAAGGATTTTAGTGTGCGCGAATGCTCAGTTTGCACCGGCAATTTGTTTTGTCTGCGTTCGTGATTTTTTTTCGATTTCTTTATTAAAATTATGGAGTGGATCAATGAGTCTACGTTATTATTAATTGGAGAATATGAAAATTTGTCTATATTATGGGATGTTAAACATTCTTCGTATTATTAAAAAACCAAAAAATAACGCATGGCAAGACCTTGTAAAGTAAATAAAATTAATATTGAATATGTCGTTATTAATGAAATAGAAAACGGCAACAGTAGCTGTCATGTATTCCCTCTTTGAACAGAATATATTTTCTTTTCAATTTTGTGTTCGATTTAGCTTGGTAAACTCTCCAATTAAAAAAGACTCACAAATATACTATATTGAACTAACTCAAAATCTTTGCTCAAAATCACACTGTCTTAAATTAGCTGAAATTTTATTCTGTAAATTCGTTTATTGTGAATAATTTTGGTGGTCGAAATAAGTTAGAATAGTGCCTTGTTTAATCAATCACTATAATTTTTATATAGTTCACAATTTAAAAAATATTATTTTTGAGTAAATGTTTCTCATGAGAAGGACCTCTCTCTCCCTAAAATATCGCGATTATCAAAGTAACTTACTGTTTAGTTTCAACTTCAATAAGATTTATAATATTCGAACGGATCACATTTAACGATGCATAGCAACCTCTCTTTCGGTCCGCCAATTATTGAGCAATATATTCTGTCTCTCCATTTAATATAATATATGGACTATTAATGTTTACTTCCAATCGAGGTATATGTAAATAACACGGAACTATTATAAAAATACAGAAATGCTCTACTCAAGGTTGTGCATACTTATATTTATAAAATAATATGAGGTTGTAAAGTGTAGATTAAAAGTAAATGTAAAAGTAATAATTAGGAATATATATAAACAACTTGTAGATTATAAATTTATTATAGATTTAGAATAAGTCAGAAAATGCTACTACTGCTAATAGAGGAAGCAACAGAATTGTATTGCCTCTGAAAAAAAGTATTTTTATTATATGATACGTGCAGAATAAGTAAATCCAAAGAATATTATATTCTAGAAGTCCCGTCTCA